CAGCAGGTCGAGACTGTGGTGGCCGGGAGCGGCCACTGCACTCCAGTCTGGGCGACAGAGTGAGACTCCGACTCAAAAAATATATAAATAAATAAACAAATAAATAAATAAATAAATAAAACTGGAGTCAATTAAAATAGAGAGGAAGTAATGGACTGTAGACCAGTCAGAGGCTTCCAGGCACAGCTAGTTGGGGCACCTAAAAAGAGAAATCAGTGAGGTGAAAGAAGAAAAGAAAGCTCCTGGCTTCATATATAATTTTCAAAATGCACACAGTCAAGGATATATTAAAGTATCATGATTGAAATCCAACTTCCATTTGTTATATCCACCACATTCTCTAATAGAATACGTTTCAGAATGTTCCACTGGAACATTCTTCTGGCAAATGAGATTGAACGAATTTACCCTGCAGTGTGGCTGTATAAATTACACAGTGACTGTAGGTTCAAAATTTCCGTGAAAAAATAAGTTTTATGCTAAAAACTCCTGGAGATTTTGCCTTCCTTTCCCAATGCGTGCTTGTTTTAATGTAAAATTAATTTTAAGCGATTTTCTAAAATCTCTCTCCTTATGATCTAAAGTGATTCTCAATGAAATGTTCAATATTTAGCTTATAACTTCATAAACCTTCAGGTGCTCAGTCTTATTCTCCCTGTAGTAAGAATCATTTAGAAAAGGAAAAACACCTAATTTATCTTGGACATTTTCAGGCTTCAACTACTCATTCTATAGATACAATATAGCAAAAGGAGCAGAAGTTTCTGAGGCAGAAATAGCTAACTTCTGAACTCAAGTCTTCTATTTACTAGCTTTACTATCTTGGGCAAGTGACTTAGACTTTCTAAAGCACAAAATATACATTAGTAGAATGAGTGTTATGGTATCACTTCACAGCACTCTTGTGAGTTTCAAAAAAACATGAAGGTGTGGTATTACAGATGTGGCAAATAGTACGTATGCAAAATACTTAGGATGATTTTCATGTTTTAGTGTTCTATTCCTTGTTTACTTTTTCTTTAGTTAAATTATAGGTCTCAACAAAATTATAGTACATTATTGGATGCACGAGAAAGTGCAAAGCTTAGCTCAAATGTGCTCTTTTCACTTAGTTTGGCTCCCCTGTAAGAGTGGAAGTTATGAGGGGATGATGTCACTCCATAGTCAATTTCTAAGACCAGAATATATAGATGGTGCAGGGGAAGCACTTAGAATCTTTAGGCTATTTCGCTCTTTTCTTATTTTTGTTTTTGTTTTCTTTTTTGGGCTACTTTTAATTAAATATTCTTTTTGTTTTTCCTCCTTTTCATCTTTGACATCTACCTTGTCTTTTCGTTGTGGGTGATATTTTATGTCATGAAAACAGTAACTTTTCTCTAAAACCCCATCTTTAATGGCTTTCTTCTCAAGAGCATGAAAATTATTTTGTAAAACATACAAAATCTTAAATACCCTTGGGGTCATGTGACCCTGTGGCTTTCTGTCTTCAATTCCTTCCACAAGTAATAGTTTCTTTATTAAGTAAACTTAGTGAACATTTTATATTACTCAGCAGTTTCATGCATTCACTTACATATTATCTTCTTCCTTGTCAACCCAAATAACAAAATTGAAGGACAGTAAAGTGAGACAATCATCTTTCCACATCATTGTCAGTATGAAATGAAATATGGTAACAAAATGTTCAAAAAGACAGATAGGTTGATTGGTAAGTATCATAAACAAAGTGGAAAAAATCAAAGAAAAACAAAATTGAGAAAGGGACAGAAATGCATTTGTGAAAATGTTTAGGTGGCTTCTGACTCTTCAAAGTCGTGTTGGTCTTTTAACCTGAATATACAAAGGGATCACTACAGTGTTTCAGTAGGAAGTAAAGAGTACAGGGATAATTTAGCATGGCTTTCTGGGTACATAAAGGTCAAGCCATGGACATATTTGTTGCTCACAAAGTCAAGATGTTTCCCTATGACTAAAAATCTCTAGACACAAGAAACACCAAAAGTATTATAAACACCAAAACAGAGTGCAAAACTAGGGATTCGAAACTTATTGGGTACTGCTGTAGATCAGCTCCTAGAAAAATAAGGCAACCCATTGTAGTGTAAGTAGCTTTCATAGATAATTGTTTTCTTAAGTAAAGATTTGAAAAGTATTGTATAGCAAAAAAGCTTATTGTCAAATAATATACATACAGGAAATTAAATGTCTTAAGTGTACCACTCAGTGAATCCTCAAAAACTGAACACACTCATATTACCAGTACCCACATAGAAAATAGAATATGATCAGCACCTTATGTGAGCCCTCACACCTCCTTCTGTATAGAGGCTATCCTCAAGAATGGCAGCTAAAATGATTAGTGGCAACATACATTAGTTTTCCCCTGAAAGGAGCTTCCCACAAACAGAAAAATAATGCTTATTTAGTATTTCATTTTAGGATACTAATGA